CCACCTGTCTTGAAACACGTGTTGAACATGTAAGAAGATATAATATATTTGAAACCCAAGTAAAACGGTGACAATATGCTGGTGCAGAGCTAACTCACTAAGTCAGCCAACCTGAATTTTTTAATGCAGCGCATGTTGATCTTAAAAAATTTCTAAATTTAATAAATGGTTCAAAATCACATTATACTATATTATATGTATATAGATATTACTAGTTTACGTATTTTTATGATCTTTTTTCATATTTTCATATTTTTATGATCTTTTTTTCACATTTTCACATTTTTATGATCTTTTCTCATATTTTTTTTCTCATTATTGAAAATAAATCAAAAATTTAGAATTGTCTTTATTAATTATAATGACAAAATAGCATAATGAATATGACAATCAACTAGTAATACCATTCTTACAGAAATATAGCAACTAATCGATGAAATTACTTCTCCAGATTTAAATTTATCTTGCTCATCTGCTTTTAACAATCAAGTAACCAGTTCATTAAGCAATCAAGTAACTAGTTTATTAAGCAATCAAGCATCCAGTTCAAATAATCAAGCATCCAGTTCAACAATCAAGTGATCAGTTTATCAAGCAATCAAGCAATCAGTTCATTAAGCAATTAAGCATCCAGTTCAAATAATCAAGTGACCAATTCATCAAGTAATCAAGCAATCAAGCAATTAGTTTATTAAGCAATCAAGCATTCAATTCAAATAATCAAGTATTCAGTTCAAGCAATCAAATATTAAATATTTCTACAAAAATAAATAATTCATTCATAAATAAAGTAAATAAGAAAAGTTGAGTACAATTATATTTTAAAGAGAACAAAGTTATAAAAAAAATGATTTGTCAATTATTTATTAAAAATCTGCAAAACAATGAAGATATTTCTTGTTCAACTACTTATAGGCTTATTACTTTGACAACAAATTTGACAAATTATCTAAGAATAATATATCAAATATATTCTCTTATTAGCTTAGTAATTATAAATAATCCAAAACAAAAAATAATTAAGCAAATGTTCAAATCTACAAATTTCTTATCATATTTCAAATAAGAAAAAAATACTTTTCGAACTTATTGCTTGAATTGTTAATGACATGCAACTATTTAATATAATTGAAAATAAAAAATTTCAAGAATTAATTCACAAGTGTGAGCTCCATTTTGAATTTTTAATTGATAGTACAATTAAAAGCAAGATTGATCAATCAGTATCCTATACTATAACATAACTAAATATATTAATACATGAAACAATGACAAAATTACTAACTTGTAGATAACACATCATATTCCATATATTGGAGTAACAATTTGCTGGCTCTCTGCAGATTTTTTATCATATCAAGCTCTCTTAACAATTGAAAAGTTTCTATATCCTCATACAAGTAATTATATCAAAAATAATCTTCAAAATTTATTTGATAATGAAATATATATTAAAAACTTTTTATGGATATAACAAATAATGCTTCTTTAATGAAGAAAGCAATGCAATAACTTGAATATAATTATATAGAATGTACAGCACATACTATTCAACTCACAATTAATAATATACTCAAATAGTAAAATATATATTAATAAAAAAAGCAAAAGACTTGAATAATTTTCTTGTGAATTATGACAAATATCATGATAAATTCAAACAAATACAACAAAATATTATAGATCAAACAAATAATCAAAATTATCTGACTTCACAATACAAATCTCTTGCTCCTATTGGTAATGATACTAAAACTCATTGGAATTCAATATTTATTCTATTGGAATAGTTTTTACTTCTTCATGATGCAATTGATGAACTTGAAATCCAATTATTATATTATCTAAATTATCAAGTATGAGCAGATGGTGAAGTTTTAAGTAACTTGATGCTATCAAGAAATGAATGGAAATATCTAATAAGTTAGTAATTCTACTTAAGCCTTTTGCTACTATGACTATATTAATAGATAGAAGCAAATATCCAACACTTTTGCAAATATTTTTCACTCTTCACAAGCTTTTCCATCACTTAACTATAATGAATTCAACACTTACCTACCTAAAAATCATTACAATTTCAGATAAAATTCATGAATTATTGATGAAAAGATGGAAGAATTCAAAAATTTATGGTTTTGTTACATTATTTTTAGATCCAATATGTCATTTGCATCAGAGAAGAAATTTCAAGAAACTATTGAAAAATTAAAAGAACAAGTTACAGAAAGCCTAGAAAATGCATTGAAATTATCTAATACTTTGATTCAAGTTTCTTACCCACAAGATCATTCTCTTATGTCACTATTTTATGATGATTATAATACAACATTAACCTTCATCAAGACATCCATTGAGTTGGAGCTTCACATTTATTGAAGCATACCAGTATTTTCAAAGTATGAAATAACTCACCCATTATATACAATAAATAATTCTTATAAATGGTGAAATGATCACAAAGCAACATTACCTTTGCTTGCAGAGCAAGCAAGAATTTATCTTGCAATTCCAGTCTTTTCAGTTCCTGCTGAACGTCTTTTTAGTAATGCTGGTAATATATTAACTAACAAAAGAAACCGTCTTGATCTTACAAATATACATAATCTTCTTTTTCTTAAAGAAAACTTAGCTTTTATGTCAATTTTTTCTAAATTGTCTAATCAATAAGAAATTAAGATAATATAATGATATAATATAATTTCGTAAGCATAGAAATAAATAAATAAATAAAAGAGATTTTTAAATAAGAAAATTCACATGACTTTAGCTGACTAGCTAAAACAAGAAATTTTAACTTAGTTGTGCCAGTATTTTAATGTCAGCTAGAATTACTAGTTCAAACTATAATTTGTCAACTATACGAATTCATATTTACTAGTTTATTTCAATTCTATTGGTCCAATATTTACTTATTTATTTGCTTGTTTGTTTGTTTATTTACTTATTTTTTTATTTATTTGCTTATTCGTTTGCTCATTTTACATGATTAGATTCTTTCAATAAGATATAAGATATTTATAATCCAATAATATTAAATATGAATAATCCAGTAAAATATTTGATCAAAGTTTACTATACAACAATATTGCTATTGCATCTTTTATAACTCTAGCTTCAATCCATTTGGTAACATAGTTAATTGCTACAACAATATAGTGATTTTCTTTTGTTGTTATTGCTAGAGATCCAACTAGATCAATACCAATCTTTTCAAAAGATTCTTCAACTTTAATTAAGCACTCTCCAGCTCTCCCAAGAACTCATACAATATACAATATTAAATAATATTATAAGCAAGAAAATAAGTTTATTTATTCTATTTATTAATTTCAGTATTTATTTTAGCTAATTAACTTTATAAAGAAATTATCAAATCTAAAGAAATTACAAAAATCAAAGAAATCACAGATTAAATTAAGAAAATTTACATTAATATACTGTTAAATTTCTTTATAATTATTCTCTTTATAGTCACATTATATAAAAACCTGCTATAATCATTCTTTTTCAAGAACCAGTTATAATAAAGCATAGAAAGTTGATTATTTATATATTCTTTTAATATCGATATAGACTTTAAAAACAAAAATTTCTCGACCTTTGCGATCTATGAATCATATTGCACAATCAAGAACTCCATTAAATATTTATAATCAAGCTATAATGAATCGTAATTCTAATGATCATTATTTCTGATATATAAGGATATGTAATAATCATAAATCACATGAATATAAATGTGATAACAGCAAATACTGGCGGAACTTTCTTGTTTATTCAGTAGTAAAACTCTTCTAATTCTCCTATTAAAAAGGATACCTGTAACAATATTTCAACTTTTATACTTTTTAGTTTTATAATATATAGTATTTCTTGATAAACTTCTCTTAAAAAAACTATATCAGTCCTCTGTGTCGTTTTTACTGCATTGGCAAAAATGAAGTTATTGATTATAAAAAAAATGTTATTTTGTTATAGAATAGTCTATTTGGAATAATGATTTAGAATGACAGAAGAATTTAAACAAAAACCACTTCCCCGAGTTTATGTCGAAAATAGATCAATCAACGCTAAATCATAATCAAAAAAGACGTCGCCAATTCTAACTTGAAGCAGCAGAATCACCAATTACGAAGAAGATTCTTGTTGGGATTGCTCTGCTATATCTATTACTATAGGCGCGTATTCTCCTTCCTCTTCATCATCAGCCCCAACTTCAATTCTTTCGACAGAATCGATCATTTCCCATTTGAATTTACGATTGAGAAATGCTCTTAGTTTCTCGAATTTTCGTTTTAGGGTGCCTAATTCGACGGACCGATTTGTCGACGATAAGTCTAGCAAATTGTACCGAAAGGCCTTGGTATACCAGTAACATAAATATTAATAATTTAAAAATATGCTAATAGTACATTGTAGTGTAAAGAGAGAATAGACCTTGAGCATATGAGCTAAAAAATTATTTTCTGAAATCACATCACGAAAAAAATCATCAGAGCATTCTTCCAGTTGATACTTTAGTATGTCTCTCAAAACAAAAAAAAAACATATATTTCACATTTAGTACGTTTTGATCATAGTTAAGTCGACGAAATTATAATAAAAATTACAATTAATTGTGAATACATACCAAGAAACTCAACAAATAAATTGTCTGCGTAAGTTAACAAAGCTTCACAACAACCACACAAAAGATGAACTAAATTCTTCCATTGCACGAAACCAGCATAATTCTGTCCAAGTAATAAACAAACAAATGCCAGTTGCAATTCACCAAGCAATTCTTTGTAATCTGGGAATGATAACGAATTTGCAAATATTATAATTCCTTTCAAACAAAAAAAAATACAAAATAGAACATATACCATCACGATAACCTTTCGACAAAAGTTCCGATAATAACCAACTTTTATCCTGACTATATTTTGTCACTTCTGGACCAAATGCACCAGGCCGCCAACTTCTTTTCAAATCAAACTTTGTGAACATTATTGTATCATTTACAATTGATTTTCCTTGTTGTTTATCTCCTTTTTCTTTTCCACGTATACCCTGAAGTTCTTCTTCATCTATGGTGGATGAAGAAATATTGCTGAGTCTTCCTTGATCTGGTAATACGCGAGACACCAACCAGGAAGTAACATGGTCAGTGAGATTGAGCCATTTTTGGTACGAGCTAAACGGATACGCGCCCAAATATTGATCTAGTTGACGCATATCTAAAGTGATTCATTTGATTTGAATTAGCATGAGAAATTGATGTCGAGCAAAAGAAAGCAATGGAGAAAATACCAGCTTTTATTTTTTCATTTTGTTCTTGATCAAGTTCCAAATCTTCCTTTAACACATTCCATTCTTTAATGACGACCTAGAAAAAATAACGTTACAATCGTCAGGCTACTAACACAACAACTAAATATGTGGGCTATTAAATAATTTTTTAAAATTTAAGTCAATACATCCCTCCTTTTTCTCATAATATTTGAAAAATCCACTCCTTATGCCTGAAGTAGCAGTGTCCGTCACACTAACAAAGAACCAGAAATAATGTTAGAATTCTCAGTAATGAAGGCAACTACTGTGTTAATAATGTTCTGGATTTTACCTGTAATAGACAAAGTGCAGACCTGGTGGAATCAATTTAACACCCATGAACTTTGTCCCAACCTGCCAGGAATTATAATCTATACCAAACTTAAGGAAAGATAGTGTTATATCAACAAACTGAAGCGGGGAAGGTCTTAACAAAGGTTTTTTTTATTCAAAATACTTTTTTACCTCCAAACCTGGAGGTGCATTCAAAAATAGCAGAAACGCGCCTTTGTCAAATAATGCTTTAGCAAGATCTTGATCCATTTTAAAGTCAAGTAACAAAAAATTTAACGTGAAAATAAATATAAAAAATTCATATACTGTCTATTTTCAATTTCGTTAACATTAATATCCGACATTTTGAAATCAAGTACGTACAATGGATTGAATAAATTACACAAATAATACAAAAAAAGCTAAAGTTTCTTCTAATTAAAGTTAACAGATTAATATCCAAACTTATCATTCAATGCTGTCCTTCCATCTCCTAAATAAATTCAACAACCGAGATCATTCAATTATTAATTCATTACTTGCAATTTATTATATAAGGATCAAAACACATGCCTATTTGTCCTTTAGGAGGCTCCCAAGCAGTTATTTCTTCTTCGTCTTCAAGTTCATTTTGTTCTATTGCTTTTTTCTCTTGCTCCTCATATTCCTGCGGTGTCATTGGAACCATCACTCTAGCTCTCTTCTCTTTTGTCAAGTATAAATTAGAGGCTTCCCTTTTTGTTGATTTGCCTATTACTAGGTCTGGTGGTGTAATCATCGTTTCTTCTGATTCTTTTTCTAGTAGTGGATTTGAAGTCGATCTTTTTATTTGTGTTGTTTCTGTAGTTTCAGAATCTTCTGGTACTACGTGGCTACTGGAGATATTAGGAACTGGTTCTTTATCCGTTTGTATTGATCTTTCCTATTCGAATATATATGTCAGAAAATTTTAAAGAAAATAAATACAAATATTTGCGCAAATTAGAATATTACCCCCTTTTCCGGCTGAGGGCTAAAGATATATCAAAATGTGTAAGATATAATAATTGGTATGTATTTCTTTGAATTAAAAATATACAGTAATAACTAGACAAACATTATACTGTTAGTTTTGATCGATGATGTTGACTTAGTTCCCAATATATCGGGAGGCTTCGTGATCTCGATAAGTCTTGTAAGTCGTTGACTTTGCTGTAGTAAAGTAAAAAAATCATATCAGCATATTTATCATGATTTACTACCATAAAAAGCGCTCATGCAAGATGTTTACATAGAACCTTAATTAACGACTGTAGAGAAGCCTTTAGTTCCATCGTGGATGCGCCAGTTATATTATTTTGCAATTCATTCATATAAATATCCAGTTCGTCGCCATTTGCTGATTTATGTTTAGATTCTATTATCATAGAAAAGATCAGAAAAATAAAAGATTTTCTTGAAAAGAATTAAAAAAAAACTAGCTAATAGCAAATCATCAAATAATTTACCTTCATCATCAGCCTCAGATATCTTGCGTCGAAGCTCTTCAATTTGAATCTCTAATTCCTGTTTTTGGTTAGTCAAAGATTCATAAGTTTCAACTTTTTGAGGGACTGTCTTTTGTGGGTTTCGCGTCTTTTTTCGCTCGCCTATATAATAATAAAATTAAATTTGGACAACAATCTTTCAATAATAAAGAAATGCATTCATTGCGTACTTATATCAGTTCTATCATAAAAAGAATCTTTATCATCATCGTCCTCATCCAATAATTTACGAAGTCGTTTTTTTCTAGCAGCTACATAATAAAATCAATGTAAAATCGTTTTGTTCTCAACTAATAAGAATAATTTATTATACCTGTTTCTTCGACACCACCACGTAATATCCCGTGCATATCCAATTTTTCGCACGCGTCTATAGCTGCTCGCCTTTCGGCATCTCTGTATACGGACAAAGGATGTAAATTTTTATTCCATTTTTATAATATATAGTCTACATATCAATTACAACCTCTTTTTTGCGCTACTTCCTATTCCATAAACTGGTCCAAATGCATCCTCTACTTCGGGCAACTGAATCCTAATATTAAGAAGAGCAATAGTTAGTACTTTATGGTAAGGGAATAGTGAAATGTAATGTATTATGACAAATTAAAATTAAGAATGTCTTGTAAAATACCTAGCAGTAAAAGTTCGCGCGTGTATTGGACCTTCCTCTTCTATTTCAAATTCCATATCATAACCTCGATTCTTGAATTATTAAAAATACTATGTGAACTAAAACTAAAATACACTATGTAACAATAAAAAAACACGCATACACACATCCAACCAACTACGTAATGCTTTTTTCGGATCATTATAATAATATGCATTCTCATTTCGTTTCCAAGTTTCCGCAATAACTGGTTCTCCAACCTCATTCTCGACATCAGCATCTTCAGAGAACCCCCTACGTAAGAGTTATATTTAATATTTGGTAATAATTCATATAAAAGTAAATACAAAATGTTTATATTATATAATTTTTTGATAAACTCTACCAAGTCACCCCAGTATTTATTGAAGCCACATTTTTTTGTGTATGTTTGGTTATATTAAGCGAACCTGTTGATAACAATTGCTCTTCTTGATCACCATCAATTCCTGCTTCTTGTTGTTCTTTTTCTTCTTCTTGCTCCTCCCCTCCCCTTTCCTCTCCTTGCAAGACATATATACGTGAACTTTCACCGAACCGAATTTGATCTCCTACGCGAAGTCGTGTGTATGTTTGTGGTGGTATTGGTACTCGATTCAGTATGGTACCGTGAGCACTATTCATGTCATATAGAAAACCATGTCCTATGATGAACAAGGTTTAGAATTTTTTGATAATTGGTGCATAATGAGATTTTAAGTTATAATAATCTTACCATTTTCGTTGAATTGTATAATGGCATGATATCTGGAAATTGACTATTAATTAAAGTTTTGTATATTAATTTGGTCATTTTAATAACGGTGAAAAAAAATTAAATAAACTGATAATATACGGCATGTTCCATTGAAATATCACATATCGGCAAACGTCCTTAATAATTATCGTATAAAATCCATGTTAACTTCAAATAAATAATGATATAAAAGAATAACAAAGAAGAACTTACCAAGTACTATAAAATCTTTAAAAGGCAGCTCGATAATTTCCAACGATACACCACCCTTTATCACTTCAAACGAAAAGGTTCCTTGAGGTAAACCACTCCACGAAGGTTTCTCATATGTGAGAGGGGGTGGTGGAGGAGCTTCAAGTAATACTGGTTCAGGTGCTGTTTGATTTTTTAGTTATATTTAAGTCAGTCTACATAACAGTAGAAGCTAATAAATAATGTTGATAGTTAACTGGGTGGGTCTGAGGGCACATTGAAGCGAACTGATTTTTTTGCTTTGCTAGTTGGCTGCTGCTGCTGTTGTTCTTGTTCCATCAGTCAAAGAAAAAAAAAGGTTATACTAAATTCTTGATATGTCAAATCACCCAATCAGATTCGAATAATGTAAAATTTATTGTTTCGTGTAACAATTAACGTCAATGTTCAATGAAAAATCTACAGGTGATCGCTACGCTAAAATCAGAAAATCATCTGTTCGATAGCATAACTTCATCTTTCACGCTTTTCATAGTAAAAAAAATGCCTACTAGACAAACGCCAACCAAAAGAAACCTTAACGAAGGTAGGAAGCTCTCCCCGAGGGTTCAAAGAAGAGAATCAAATCCTCGTCATAATAGCAAAATTACTGGAGATATGGATTCAGGTAAGATTGAGTAGCTAACTTATCGTCATAATTACCTGTCATAAAAATTATAATTTAATGAAAAAATTCAATATATACTCTTTTGAAGTCGGTTTAGTCTATTTTTCTATCAATTTATATTATGTGGCATTTAGCTGATAAAGTTATTTTCTCTTTGGAAACAGAACATGATGAAATCGAATTTGTGGCTGGTAGCTCGGTGCAAGCAAATCCTATTGAAAAAGCACCTTCATCAACACCTACTAATACCATTCTTGGCACGGATAGCACTTGGTCAGATAAAGAACCAATCTGTTCTGAGGATAATCAAAGCAACCTCAATGGTTCACAAGTCAATAAACGTGACCTCGATTACTTCAAACCGGAGAGTCAAATTTCTTCAGAGGAATTCGACAATTACCGACGAATAGCAAATAAGCTATGGAATAGGAACATTGATGCTCCGTCCATAAACACCGTTCAATTACAACTACGAGATAAAGAGGTAAATAATTCATTTGATGATGAATCTAGCGATTCAAATACCAATAGCGTGCTGGATAACGACCCTGTGAACAATGATGATGAATATTCGTCAGATAGTTCTTTTGGTTCAGCAGAGTTAACATATAATTCGAAAATAATATTCAATCAATGCGTCAATGGTGATCTTTTATATTGGACAAATCCGGATGGTTCGGCTAATCCTTTACCAATTCCAGCTATTCTTCCCATGCAATTTAAATATGGAGAAAATATAGTAATCGACGTCATTAATGAAGACAGCCGAGCATATCCGGAAGATATCAAAGTTACGAATTTCCTCGAAAATCTTATCAAAGCGCCCAGGAGAACTTGGTTAAAGAAATTCTCTGACGAGTCAAATTCAATATTCAGAAGTTACAATGGTTTAAAATGGCAAACGATTGAGATCATATTCATAATTATGTCATCACACGCAGTACTTCGCAGATCAGATATCCGAAATTCAGAAGAGATTAAGAAAATAATGGACGCTTTTCATCACTGTACATGGTCCGGCAAGACTATCGGTTATTTACGGTCTTATGTGAACTCATTGGACCAAATATTAGATCTTGTTAATACCTTTGATGCAATATGTAAATACAAAACCTGTTATGGAGCTCGCTTGCCTGTCAGTGAGATCGAACGGCAATTCTATAGTGTCACTCGAAATATGAAAGATAATGAGAATATGTACGAAAGAACAAAAATACAAGGAATAGCCCAAAGGATCAGATTGTACCAACAAACCTCTGGATCATTGGAACCTTACTACGCAAGATCAAGCAATTTCCAACCAATAATTCCACAATGGGCCAAACATATACGAAAAAACAAAAAAGATTTGTCTTTGGTTCCAACGATTGATGAGATCTTGGGTAAAAATGTTCAGAATAAAAATGACCAGAATAAAAATGATTTTCCAGATCTAGAAGATATTATATGGTCGTCAGAAATGAGCGACATTTACAAATACATTCATTACTGTGTATTAAGACGACAATATTTGGAACCCTTGCAACATGTAATCTCAATTTGGCTGCAATCTTTCAATATTGAAGCTCATAAATTCAAAATGGGCAATATTAACGAAGTATTCTTTAAAGATGTTAGGTTTGACAACGCGCGTGTACACAAAAGTGGACAATTAATTATAAGGCTAAAACTACATCCAAATAATCAAATAGACTGGACTCGCGGAGAAAATTTATTACCAGGATCATTCGTCATCCTCACAAAGATCACAAAACTAAAGTTCCCTGAAGAAACTTACTTCCCAGTTAACAAAAAGTCTACAGTCTATGGGACAATACTAGAGTTTGATGTCAAAGATACAACGCTAACTAATAGTCTATTAATTGGACTTCACTTAGATCCAGAACAGTTAGCCATCTTCGATATAAGCTCTTCGTATGTTATGTTTGCATCCAATCATTACTATCCAATCATTAAATCGAGCTTGGAGTGGATGAAAGACGAAACACCCATTACGAATTTAATTCCTTTGGGCCAAGATATTTTGAAATGCTCTAAAACAAGCTCTCCGCCGCCTTACTTAACCGATGCGAAGATAAATCTGCATCAGATTCTGAAAAAGGGGGTAAAGGTTCCAAAAGTCTCGGCTACAGGTAGCTGGCCACCATATTCAGACACAACGAATTCTTCTTATAATGTAGATTTTACAGAATGGAATGCATTAAAACATTTATTTCTGAATAAAATTTCAGTCACCATCACGCCAATTGGTGAGTAGTAAATTTTATTTTATTTATTATTCATAATCCATAGCAAATTTTATCTATAATAAATTTTCTTTGGATAAAAATAATTTATTATATTTTTTTTTAATTTTTCTTGATAAATAGGAACTCCTCAAGAAGAATTTGTTATCAATGTCATAGAGATGATAAGTCAAATAATCAAAGATCGATCCTTTCATGAGCCAATCATACTTATCACTCAAAGCATGCAATCATTGGATCAAATTCTTGACAAGGTTATCACATTCATCCCCGACTTGATTAGATGCGGACCATCAAATAAATGTCTTGAGAGCTTAAGACATCGTCAGATCAACACTTTGTTGGAGCAATATTCCCCAAAGAGTACCAAACATAACAAATCCTTTTTCTATGTCAAATCTCAACTCAAGAAATTCGAAAGTGATCTGGAAAATTTACTAAATGAACGGACGAGACTTTTAGGAAACGATGCTTTTGTCAAAAATGCTCCTGAAGATGTACGCAAACAATTACTAGTGGATCAAAATAATTTATTGCGAGGGTGGCTTAACGGATATGAAAAAGAACAATCGTTGGCAATTCTAGACGAATTTCAAGATTCTTTGGACGATCCTTCGGTAATTAACAATATACCTAACATCGAAGAGCGAGTATTTCATGGAATGGAGTTTATCAATGATGAAGAGCGCGATAATTTCCGTTTATGGACGCGGAGTAGTCAAAGTTCTTCACAGTCTTGCCCCCAATATTATATAAATAAAATCGCGCAAATATGGGAAAATAATCTGCCTGCACCTAAAGACATTTGGAATCTACCGAGAAAATTAAGGCAGAGCATATACCAGGCATATGAAGAAGTATGTGCCAATTATTTGAGTAGTGAAATAAAAAAGATACTCAAAGAGATTGCAGGTTTACAAAAAAATATCGAAGAAATCAATAACTTTCGATGGCTTGGAACTTGTAGATATTCGCCTCTGGTTGGAATGACAGTTGCGTATGCATCAAAGCACTATAACCTCCTTAATGAACTTCAGTCACGAGTAATTATTGTCAATGAAGCTTCAGAAATATCTGAAGCCACATTAATGCCTTGCATTTCGTCGCCCAATTTACAGCATCTTGTTCTTATTGGAGACTATTTTTGTCATAAATCTGAACTAAGAACAACAACGGATAAGAACAATATTTCCTTATTAGAAAGATGGATTTTACAAGGGGCTCCGCACCAAATTATTTCGCGACAATCTAAAATTCATCCCAGCATATATAGTATTGTACGCGACCTGTACAAATTCTCAAGTCCACTTAATTTTCAATTGACAATTGAGGATATTCCTGAGATACAAGATCTTACCCATGTACCTGGAATGGATTCAAACGTGCACTTTCTTACTCATGACGAATTTGACGAAACCAGTGAACCACTGAACATGACCAATACTTATGAAGCAGAATTCGTCGCTCGTTTTTTGTTATACTTATCCCATCAAGAAATTCATCTTTGTGACAATATTACAATACTAACACCATATTCAGCACAAAAGCAGTTAATATGGAGTAAATTAGATCCGTCACTCAAGGAAGATTTCGAATATGGTGACTTGAAATTTAGAAAAGCTAAAATATCCACAATTGATGAGTTTGAGGAGAGGCAAGCTCGGATTGTTATAGTTTCACTTGCTACACCATCTCCTAAATTCAGAAAGGAATGGTCAGATTTCTTGTGTGTAGGTTCACGCGTAAAACGTATCATGTCTTCTGCCAAAAACGGGCTGTATATCTTCGGTAATGGCAACGCTTTAATGGAAAGTAAGCTTTGGAAAATTGTTATTCAAAGTCTTCAAACTAAAGGTATTTTCTATTTTAATTTTTGTTTATTTTAAAAGATTTACATTATATGTGTTGTATTATTAATAAAATTAGTTGCTTTATTTTATTAGGAAATTACGGCCAATTTCTGCGTACTACTTGTACACGTCATCCAAATTACTCGTCAGAAATTATGTCAGCTACAGATTTTGACAAACATGTGCCAGATGGTGGTTGTCTCGTAAGTTTATCCATTATACTATTGCTTTACCACTTTTTTCCTTATAATTTATATATTTGATTTAAATTCTAGCTGCCTTGCCCATATGTACTCGCATGTGGACATTCAAATTGTCCACTTAAATGCCATCCCATCCACCACGCGATGGAATATCGCCAAAAGGTAAAACTTTATAAAAGTTAATTTATTAATTTATTTTTAATCGTTTGTTTTTCTTTATTCTAAAGTATATATGCAGAGAACAATGCGAACGAGATCGACCAGACGGTTGCTCTCATAAATGTTCGCGTAAATGTCACTCATGCAAAGAAAACCGGGAATGTCCACCTTGCAGAGCTTTAATTAGTTTAGAATTACCTTGTGGGCATTCAAAAGATATGCCATGTGGAGAGCAACCAGAAAATATTGAACAAGTAATATGCAATGTAAAAGTAGAACTCACTAGAAGATGTGGGCATACCGCGACGACACTATGTCACATAAAAACTCACGGTGATCCAGAACTGGGACTCTTTCCGTGTCAGAAAATATTACAATATAAAGTTCCAACATGCGGTCATGAGTTTGAAACATTTTGTTCGCAATTTAATGAGGATAAAAGTCATAATTGCATATATATGTGTGATGTAAAATTACCTTGTGGCCACAGTTGCGACAAATTATGTGGAACAGAACACACACATAATCGTGAAGATTGCTCTTTCTCATGTCCTAGACAGTTAATATGCGGACACAATTGTACCAATGGATGCAAGAATCCCGAGGAACATACGACAGAATGCCAAGAACCCTGTCGAAAAATATGTACCCATGGAAAACTCTGTTTCTGCAAGTGCTACGAAGAATGCATCTTTTGTCGTTCACCTTGTCAATGGCGATGCGAGCATATACAATGCACAAAAAGATGTGACGATGTATGTGATCGGCCTCCATGCAATGAGCCATGCCCGAAAAAGCTTTCTTGCGGGTAAGTATTTTCAGTAAATTCTAGATTAACACGATATTGCTATAATTAGTTATTCATTTCTCATTAGTCATCCTTGCAAAGGACTATGTGGAGAACAATGTCCTCCTTGCATTCAATGTAATCCTGATTTAGTATGTTCGATTAATGAAACTTCTCTAAGTGGCGAAGATGTCAAAATATATCAAATCCCAGATTGCGGATGTGGTGAGTTTTCTAGTCTGATATAAATATGAAATACATTTTCCTTATATATATTTTATTAATTTGATTTATTTTTTTTGTAGTCTTTGACGTAGAGACATTAGATCTTTACTTCAAGAGCGATGCCACAAATAGTAAGTATTTTTTGTTATAAATTCAATTTAAATATAAATCTAATTTTTATTAGATGGACATGTTGCTATAAAACTATGGCGATGTCCCCATTGCCTTGAGCAAATACTTAGGGCTCCAAGATACTATCCGTATATCAAACGGCAACTTAATTTATGGAATAAAGTAAAGCTTGAACTGATTAAAAAGAGAAAGAAAGAACGAGAAGAAGCAGCACTACGGCGAATAGAAGCTCTTCGTGAAAAACAAGAAATACAGCAAGCAATGGATGCAGAGACTAGGCAAGAAGCTCCATGGAGTCTTGTAGGCGGTCGATGGTTTGCCTGCTCAAATGGCCACCCATATTACATCGGTAGCTGTGGCGGTGCAATGGAAATCTCAACATGTCCCGAGTGTAAGTATTTCTTTTATTCTAAACCCCTGTCTATTCTTTTGTTTATTCTCTTAATTAATATTTTGATATTAGGCAAAACACAAATTGGCGGAACCAAGCATAAAATCGTGAAAGGGAATCGATTCTATGGAGAATTCGATGGAAAGGCCCGGCCTGCTTGGCCACAACAAGAACAGGATGACGATGAGGACGAGGACGAGGACGAGGACAACGATGATGACGACGATGATGACAGGCTAGAGCATAATGGTGAATGATTAATTATAAATGAATATAATTATAATTAGCTACAAGTTTTTATATTAGATGTACAGACACTGCATATTTGCTTGTAAATAAAAAATGTAAACATTATTCGTTTTATTAATTATTATCATTATTGTTTAAATTGTAATTAGTGCCAATCTAAATAAAATAAAATATTAATAACAAATAAGTAATATAAAACACATCAAAAATAAAACTAACTCGTCTTCTTATCATTACTTATTCGCTTTTCTTACACCTAATCATTTTCTTTTTCCACCACAAACTTAAAAGTAACATGATAATTATCACTGATCCGGATTTATTTTTAATCAGACTTTATCCGGTTTGTATTTAAAACTGGATTCAATTTAAAACATTAAACCAGATATAGACAATAGCGATATATAGCGATAGTATTTTCAGATCGTTAATTAATGTGGGGAATCATGGCGTTAATGGATCATGATGAAAATCACATAATTTTAATGTAGATCGAATCACATGACTTATTATATCATCGGAAAATCACATGTATAATATGTATGTATAATACAGATTGTATATTATACTTATTACTAGTCATAATAACTAAAAAATGGAAAGAAATGATTTTGTTTTGATTACTAAGAAGTTCAATATAAAAAAAATGTTTATTCTTTATCACAAATTAATAAAATAATGAATATTCTTGAAAAAGCAAGTTGATTTATATCAACAAATTTAATCAACAGATTTTGACAAGTAGAAATATATTATCAGAAAATTTTTGAAAATAATTTATATTGATATTATTATTAGTTATATATTAATATATATTAAAGTTATCAATGTTATCAATATATATTGAAACTAATATCTGATATATATTAATATATAATTAAATTGTTAAAATCATTAAATATTATTGTTTAATAATATAATGATATAGGTTACTAAATATTATTATTTAATGATGTAAATTGTCAAATCATTAATGACTTATTTTATTATTAAATTCAAAATACTGATATTTAAAGTTCTAAAAATAAACAATCTCTTATATTATCATTTTAAAAGAAGAGGATTACTTATTTTTGAGTTTTAAATATAAATATTTTAATAACAAGTAATTCAAATTGAGCATGCTATAACTTATTAAATTTGTTCAAATAAGATGAATATTTTGGTAATTGTTTTATTCAATTTGAATTACTGATTACTGAAATATTTATAAATATCTGATATTATTATATAGTTTAAAAGAGAGGAGTTGCTTATTCTTGTTTTCAGAACTTTACAATATTTTTTATTATTAAAACAAGTATTTATTTAATAAATATAATTAATTAAATGTAATTATATGTATAATATATTTCTAATAATCTCCAATTGATCAATATTTTCTTTTTTATTATTCTTTGTAAATAAATTATTTATTATATAAAAATTGTATATTTTTTATCTTTATTCATTTCTTATTGAATAATATTGTTGCTTATATAATTATTATCTTTATTATCTTTGATTTCTTTTTTTATTAAGTCTTTATATATTAGAATTATATTTTTTTATATATTTTCTAAAAAAAAATTAATATTAATCATATATATAATGCACTCAGTTTTAAATTTACAAAAAAATAACTTTACAAAAAATCTTACTATAATTTTTAAAGTTTATAAAATAAAAAAATAAATTACAAGATTTATTCTTCATATTTTTAAAAATAAAACTTGTGATTTATTTTTTATTTAAAATCAAACTGATAAAATAGTAGTTATTTAAACTTAAATTATTTAATTAGAAAACTAATAAAATATGAACAATAATTTTATTTATTTCAATTAATCAGAATAATACACATAATATATATGTGATATTCATATAATATAATAGTATAATATATAACTTTGTATATCATAGTTATTAATTCAACATTATTAATATTTTTTATTTGTTTATCAATAAAAAAAAACTTTTTAATATGAATTATAAATAAAACTCAAAATTTTGGAATATATAATAATTATTAGTAAAAGTATTGAATATAATAAATAATATAATCAAATCTCTCTATAGTTATCACCTCCAGGAAAGCAAAATTTGGTGACTATAGGGAGGATGTGACTATAGAGAGATTTTTTTATTATGTTTATATGTAAATATAAAAGCAAAATAAAGTGACTATAGAAAGGTGTAACTATAAATAGATGTGATTATAGAAAGGTTTGACTGTATATAAAACTTGCAAATAAAAATAAAATTCAATTATGCTTATAATTTTAAACTTACTCATTTAGTATAATATAACTTATACTTTATTATTTTATTAGAAAAAAAATCTTTTAGTTACTTTTATAATATTATTATTTTTATATTATATCTCATTTAAATATTAAATCTCATATTATATCTAACAAAATTCATATTAAAACTAATATCTTTGCAAATTCACCAAAAATTACTAAAAAAAATACTTAATTAAAAGCTATTTGAAATAATACATAAAGATCTTTAAAGTTATACTTTAAAAATTATAAAATAATATAAAAAAGCAATTAAAATTCTCTTTTTATAATGATATATAATTCATAATATTAATTAATTTTATTGTATTTTTCTTACAAATTGTAATTTTTTTTGCATATTTTCAGAAAATTTGAGAACAAATTTTTGAAAAAAAAATATATATAAATAACTTTAAAAGAAAGCTAAATAAATAAAAACTTTCAAGAAAATATAAAATACAGTCAAATTTCTCTATAGTCACCACCCTCAGAAAAGCAAAATTTGGTGATTATAGAGAGAATGTGATTATAGAGAGGTTTTTTACTATGTTTATATGTAAATAGGAAAGCAAAATAGGATAACTATAGAGTGATGTAACTATAAATGAATATGACTATAGAGAAATTTGATTATATAGAAGTATTATTATCATTTTTTATAGATCTTGAATTCTTGATGTGTTAATCACATATTCTATTAATTTAAAAATGAAAAAGATTAAGTTTTTATAGTGAAAGTGACTAAGATTTATTACTAAAGGTAGATAATATGTGTTCTTATTGTAATGAGCTAAAATGATATTTAATAACTTCACTAAGTTTTGTATATTTATTTAGAACTTCAAAAGTTATGATACTGTTATTATTTGATATTTTGGATCACATGTAAAATATCATGTGATATAATTTTGATAATTATTTATATTTTTCTATTTATAATTTTATTTTTAATTATTTAATTAATTTAATTTATATATAATTTATCAAAAACATCAATTAATTCTTTTTAATATTACATTATTTATTTTATTATAATATTATTAAATCTAAATTTATTCTATTTTAAATTAATTTTATTTAAATTAATTAATATAATATTAATTAATATAGTGCTAATGTTACTCTAATTTAAATTGTATTGCTTAGATTAAATTAGTATTATATTTATAATTTCTTGATATTATACTTCTTTCAAATTAATCTTATAATTATTTTTAAATAACTTTACTCATCATATAGATCTGTATTATATTTACATATATTTAAACAGATATAATTTAATATAGAATAACAAAAATTCTAGTAATAAAAGTATAAAAGTTAATTAATACTTCTAAATAATCTTTTGCTTATTATCTTTAATTTATTATTTATTTAATTTTGATTTACCCAACTAGTGGAAGTTATCTTTTGTATTCTAATAAATTATTTGCACTTTTAAATTATAAAATACTTGCCAATTAGTGTAAGTATCAGAATCTATTTCTTTTTAATAATCTCTTCCAATCATCTAGTATCCAACTCTCTCAAGTACACATAGTTACTATTATCACTTTTATATAATTCTTAATTAATTACTATAATTAATTAATATCTTGTCTATCAATATAAGAATGATAACAGCTTTTTGATGCTCTCTCTGTGAAAAATAAAATTGAAACTAAATACAATTAAAGTCATTTTTCAAAACTAAATTCATCTAAACTAACTGAAGTTAAGATTTGTTATCAATTTGTTAATATTGTAAGAGAAATAATCAATACTAAACTTACAAAAAAACAAGACAGAGAATTATTTAAACTTCTTTATAATCTATTTGAAGCTGATATTATTAAATAAAAATCTCAAATTAATACTATTAAATATTAATTACAATAGTAATTATCACCACATATACTTCTAAAACCATTTGAATTATTTAATTATCTTAATAACTTAACTAAAAAAGTTCAAACTTTTAATCAACAAAGATAATCTTGATTATTCAAGTATAAAATAAAACAAAAATCTCACTTATCAACACTAATATTAATAACTATAAATCAAGAATTACATTTACAAACAGTAATAACAATATCAATAATCATTCATAATATTAAACAAAGTTTTCAAAATTATCTAGGAACATTATCAACAACTCAACAAATTCAAAACTTTGAAGAAAAAGAAGAACAAGATGCTTTAATTCTTGATTTATCTCTATTATTACCAGAAAATATTGAATTAAAATCATTATTATCATTATCAGCATTTTTATCACCAACAATAACTACTTTAGATATCACTTTCAAACAATTAGCAGATCTAATTAGTAATCAAAATCAAGATTCAATTCCAATTTTAACAATTCATTGAAATGATCAAGATAATCTAATCACTTGAATAGAAGAATTTGAACAAGTTACAAGAGCTAATAATATTATTGTATAATAATCTTTCATCATAATATTTCATATTATTAGATTATACATATCTCATATCTTATTGAATAAAGATCAAATCATGTGAAGTGAACAAACAAGTGAGCGAACAAGTAAATGAGCAAACAAACAAATAACTAAGTGAACGAGCGAATAAATATTAAACT